AAAAAAAAAAAAAAAAAAAAAAATTGAATTTCCAACAAGCTAGTAGAATTGTAACAAATGTCCCATATAAATAATCCCATTCACAGAATCATAAATGATAAAGTTATAAAAGACAGTCACATATATCTTTTTTTATCTGCTAGTAGCCCCAGAAAGCCACACTAAATGCTAGATGAGCATCTATTAAACAACTGGGTGGTCTCTGCATTGATACCTCTATGTGCATCCTATTGTTCCAGGGATGGATGTGTCTGAGGGGTCCCTCTTTTTATAACGTATAGAAAACTGTAGAAAACCAGATCTAAAGTCTAAGGAAGAGTCTAACAAAAGCACATTAATGAAAACTATAGTCTACAGAAATCAAATTCAAATTCACAGAGATGGGAGGCTGGATAACATGACCATTGAATCTCTCTTAGAAATTATAGTCAAGGTTCATTTAAAAGCTATTTTTAGATTGTGACACTAGTTGAGAGAAGAAAAATCAATGAAAAACAGAGGACATTCTATGAGCCCAAACCACAAGGTTAGGAGGGTCCTTACCAGTACAGTCACCACACGAAGAACCACACCCCGCATGTTGTTCTCCAGTTTCTTGTCAGTCAGTGACCCATTCAGACCCGTGACAGGATTCCAGCACCCAAGCTGAAAGGCAAAGTATCTTTGGTCACTTTTCTTTAAAGAGCAGCCCAGTCACCTCTGTGTAGACCTTGTAGAGAATTGTGTGATATATCACGGAATAACTGGTATGAAAAACTTATCTCTTTTAATAGCAAATGAAGCAATCAGAAATGCTATCTCCTGTCTTTAAATACCATCATATGGCATATGTCAGAAGCCAGCATGCTTTACAAGAATCATGGAGGACGTATGAATTAATGAGAAGTCACATATCCACCAATAACTCCATCACTCTAATGTGCTAATTGGAAGAATAAAAGTGCATGTAACCCTTGCAAAATTTCTCACTAATATAGCAGTTACTGCATAAGTTAAACTCTCCTAGAGCCTTAGTGCTGTCATTTAATTGTACAATGCTTTTAGTGAAATAAAGAGCTTTAAAATAGTAAAAACATTTTATATGGATAGAAGATCAACTACTTTTATGTAGGGGATAGTCACATATAAAGTGTGTGTGTGTGTGTGTGTGTGTGTGTGTGTGTGTGTGTGTGTGTGTGTGTTTTAAGTATTCACAATACATAAAAACAATGTAATTCGTTTCTGCTCAGTGCTACTAATTTTCTTGGAATGTTTTGACAACACTCTTTCCATGAAAGCCATAGGCTAATTAATCTTTATTGTTCAAAATGGTGGTTTAATGCATGTCTGCCCTCATATAGTTATTGCCTCTTGTAGTATCCAAATCTGAGGGCTATCAATTTTTTAAATTACTGCCTTCAAATGTCAGAGGAATAAAAGTTGATGAGTCTCAATTAGAACTAAGGAGGAAAGAAAGAAATGAGGAGGCTCGCATTAATGAGTGACATTTCAAGAATGAGAGAAGAGGGTATGTGCACAGTGGGAATGATGTCGGGCTTTTATCCCAATGCCAGCTCCATGAGCCTTCACACTGAGACCTGTTCTGTGAGTGCATGCGGGAAAATTGTAACCCAGCTTCAGTCATATTTGAAAACAATTTGATTAATTGAGTTATTACAGGGGCACCTGGTTGCTGGTGCCATTTCCTCCAATGATTTATTTCTTTGTACTGAGTTTTGTCTGTAGCTTCCAAAGTCATCAACATACTGGCAAGTCTCCCTCACAAACAAATAACTTAGGTGATTCTTATTAAAGCCCAAGTGTCTCTTTGAGCTCCCCAAAGGTGTTTAATTAAGAAAACTAAAATGTGTTCAATACATTGCAAGAGACAGAGATGTCACAATATGATCAACAAAGCCAGGTTTTTCTTTATTAAGATAATTTGGAGAAGCCTGATAATTGTTGGTTTCAACTGTAAAAGCACATTAAATTCATACCATGATATGTCATTCTTAGTTACATAAAAGTCTAATTAGAAGTTAGATCCAATTAGCAAATCCAAATGTGTTGAAAAGTCTAATTATCAGAGCTAGTGTAGCCCTCTTGCCAAATTTAAAAGCTTATGGAAATTCTTCTGAGCTTGTGTTCTTTGCTGAGGTTACTGAGAGTCTATCCTCAATTGCATTGTTTGACAATCACTTTCTAATTACTTCAAGGTTTTATTTTCCTAGACCAAATATTGGTGGGAAAATGGCAATGATGACGACACTGAATTCCTAGATCCCTACAGGCTAATCACTTGATTTCCAGCTCAACCAATGACATGGAAGGCAGACTTATTAATGAGGACATGGCCCAGCTGCTGCAGCAAAGACAGGCATATCTTTCTGCCTCCAGAGGTGTGTTTTAAGTTTGATCAGACTGTGGTCAGTTTGCCCAAGAACCTGATCTCTATCGCATCCATTGACCTTGACCTTCTTTGGGCATCTGCTGCAGTAAGGTTGGTAGAATAATACACACCATGGTATTTCTGGACCATGAACCCTCAAGTTCCGAATTTCCGAGTCATGGCCTTCTTTGACTACAACTAAATACAGTCAGTATTCTATAAAGTTGTTTTGTTTATTTGTTTTGGTTTGGGGTTTTTGTTTTTTGTTTTGTTTTGTTTGTTTTTTTTTCTTTTGTTATGTTTTTGTTTTTGAGACAGGGTTTCTCTGTGCAATCTTGACTTTGTTGGAACTCATTTTGTAGGCCAGGCTGGCCTCCAACTTAGAGATCTACCTGCCTCAGCCTCCCAAATGCTGGGATTAAAGGTGTGCGCATCCACCGCCTGGTAATATTCTAAAAAAATTAATGCATTCTCTTGTACTTAAGTTGGAAATAACAAGAAAAAGTGGACTGGGTAGAAATAGGTAAATATTTGTCCTCCTGACTTTAGTAGTATGTTGGACACTATTTGCATTATTTATGCTATGTAATGTCTCTTCTCATTTTGCTCTTTAACTTTCATTTTGTGTAAGACTGTACCAAACACATACACATTTTCATGCATATAGGCTGCAAGACAAATGTATTTTCCCACATGATGACATTGAGAGTTCTGTGCTATTTTTCATTGTGTGCATTTTGACAGTAACACTTGCCTGTAGTTCTTGTCTCTTAATAACCACAGGCTGGACTTTAAGATTAGCGAATCCCTTCTCTGTCAGTACTTCTCTTACATGTATGAAGATTTCTCAAATAACCACCATGAATACCAAAATTGATTATCTTCTAAGAGTAGATATTATAGGAAAAATATTTAGGATATAGGGTTCTTTTTAAAGTAGAAATAAAATATAATACTGATTAAGTATCCAAATGGGCCACAGCAAACCACTGAGAAGTCAAAATGATAGGTATTTCCTATATTGAGCACATTTTGAAAGCATTCTTAAATGATTTCTGAGTGTCAGTCACAGAGTTGATGTTTTATGCAGGGCATTTAACTGTCCCAGCAACTTCATGAGATGGCCCTGTTAGCATTACTATTTCATAGACATCATCACACCTAAGGTCTCACATGAGGTCACATATCTACTAAGAGATGAAACTAGGGTTGCAACTAATTTCACGTAAGTTCCATTGTCAGGATTTTAAAATGAATTTTGTCTCATGCCTGCTTAATCCTTTTCATAAGTATGATGCATTTGAGGTGGTAGAAGATATATTTATGTTTCTGTGCTAAGGAAACTGAGGTGCATAACTGTGAAGTGGTTTGCCCAACTTAAAACTTTCAAAACAAAATTATCATAATTTTATAAGATTTACACACTATACAATGTGTCAATTAACTGAGAGTTTTACTTTTGTTAACTCAATTAATTCTCAAAACCCTTGAAGGAAGGGATGATTCTTGTCCACATGTTGTAGAAGAGGATTCTGAGGACAGCTAGGTGCTCTCTGTCTATCCTATTATCGTTTATCTGTGTAGCAGTCAGGATGGCAGTAAGTAGAGGGAGAAGTAGAAAATGAAGTAAACACAAGGTGTTCAAAAACATCGCAATGTTCTGCTTTGAAAGATCAACTTAGGTAAAATAAATGCCAAACTCCTGTAAGTTCCTCTAAGTCATAAGGACATGTCCTAAACAGTCTCAGCTGGACATGCCAATAAACAACAGCAGCATGCAGGGGCAGTGCTGAGCTCTCACATCTTTCTGATGCATTTCTCATGTATCAAGGTCTCTTGTTTTTTGCACATACTCTCTCATCTCCCTGAGGTTCACTTCCAGTTACTCTGCTTGATATTAACAATTCCTTCTAATTATAAGCAACCAAAAATAAGTGACGTTCCCATATATTCACATTGAATCACTTCTTACAAGAAGTAATACTCCTTGAGGCACAGCAGTCGTGAGAGGCAGAATGTTTGCGCAACTCTGGAGGGACTGCACCCAGGGCCAAACACAGGGCTTCTCTAGCTACCTTTCTGCTGTCCTTTGAAATCTCTTGAACTTGGTGGCCCTGGCATTATGGTGAAGGTTGTTTTTTGTCTGACTAGGTTTTTGCTTTGGCTTCTGTTTTGTTTTGTTTTGTTTGTTTGTTTCTCTTTTTCAAAGAAATTGTAGAGTAATAGTGAGAATACATGCAACCTCATACTCTCTTTTACAGAGGATTTTAAAAGAATTTTTGGTTTCTTGTAAGTGTGTGGGCGTGCACACATGATTGCTGGTACCCTTGGAGCCTAGAAGAGGGAGCTGGAGCTGGAGTTACTGGTGGTTCCAAACTATTTGATGGAGGTTCTGTGAGCCGAACTTCAGTCCTCTACTAGAGCAGTCAGACTCCTCAACTGTTGAGTGTCTATCTAGCTTACTCATCTCATTCAGACTCTATTCAGTTAAATTAATAGAGTACGCTCTCCAAATTAAAAAGAAAAAATTGACTCCTGCAGCAAATGGAATTTGCAGAAAGTCTCCCTGTTAATGGTGAAAAGGATTTACTATCTAGGTACTGAGGAGATGCCTCAGTGAATAAAGTGGTTGATGCACAAGCATGAGAATCTGAGTTCGAATCCCCCAGTACCATGTTAAAACTAGGCACAGGGAAGGCACACACTTCCATAATCCCAGTACTGGATCTCAGGGAGTACTTGTCAACCAGTCAGTCCAAAACATGGAGCCCCAGATTCAGCAAGAGACCTTTTTAAAAAAAGAATAATGGTAAAGACTTGAATTCGACCTCTGGCCTCTCCATGTGTGTGCTTGTGGATATGCTCCTACATACATGCATAGCCATGCCTGTACAACACACACACACACACACACACACACACACACACACACACTGATCCACTGTCCAGGTCCTGGAAATCTTGAAAACATTGGGAAGACTTAAAAAGTAAAGTCCAGAAATTCTACATCTTTTCAACAGCAGTATATAGATTTCCTGTATTTTCTGGTTATTGCCTGAAGTCATTTCAGAACCTTTAAAATGCTTAGTGTTCTAATTATTTCCTTCATTGGAGCTTTGGCAATAATAACCATGTAGTCTCAGTTAAATCAATGGAATAGCTTGTGTTCAACAAACTGGCTGATGCATTTGCATGAGCACAGTAGCGCCCCTAACATTAATGCATGCTAACAGTCAAGTTTATATATTTACTCTTTTCTCCTCAATGCTTTCACTTT